GCCCGCGCCGGCCTTTGCCTGCCCGGGTGCCGCCTCCCTCAAAGCTCGGCTCCCCGCCCCGACCACCGCGCCCTGGCTCAGGGCCACCGCGCCGGTCCGGCCGGAGCCTCGGCGTGCGCTTCCTACCTCCTGCGCGCTTTCGCCCATCACTGGCGCTCCCCAAACCCACCTTCTCCCCTAGTATCACCCTTCTGTGCTCTTTCTAGGCACAACCTTGAACCCTACGCAGAGTCAAACGCAGACGTCTTGCACGAATTACTAATCAAGTTTTCCTAGCTTCACTTGAATTCACTTTCTCTTTTAATGAGCTAAATCCCCAACCTTTTCGTCCCGTCAACCCCCACCACCATTCTGAGTTGCCTTTAGGCGGAAACCACTATCTTCTCAGATGCCTAGCGGTCGCAATTTTACCCAGCTTCACTTTCTGTGGTTTGTATAAGGAAAATAAAATTCTGCCAAATAAACTTAACAAAACTGCATATTCACTCCCTTCTGTGTTGTCCTCACTCTGAGCTTTAGATTTAGGCTTGCAGAAAACTTAGTCTTGAGCACTAAATTCCCCACCAGTGTACTGAATGGATTAAAAACGGGTGCACTCCTATTTATCAAAAAACAAAACCAAAAAAACTCCTTTATAGAGAATCAGAAGGCTAATTTAACAATCTGTACAAAACTATTTACTAATCAAGATTCTATAGGATCTTTAAGACAATAAAATGTTCTTTGAGCTTTAAGCAAGCTGCATACAAGAATAAGTAAGCCTAGCCAGGTCATTTAGTAAAATTAAGTTATATTTTGGAAGACAGCAGAGTAATACTTAGCCTCTAAGATTTGAAACTATAAAGCACTCCCTTCTAAGAACCACTTTTATTCACATTTTGTTGTGGTCTGCAAAGATAATACAATATCATGCTAATATTTGATTTATTTACCATAATATAATATAATGTAAACCTGTCTAGCAGGGTGATAATAGGTTTCTTTTTTTTATACTGTCTCCAATAACACTTAAAGGAAATTTGAAGCACCTTGAGGTTTAAGCTTTTCCAGAAGGAGTCCACTGAGGTGTTCACTGCTGCACCTCCAACACACAGCACAGAAGAGATCTGCAATAAAAATGTGCTGTGTGGGCTGAGGACAGGGCCTTACCCACCCTCTGCTCCAAAGTGAAGATGTCAGCTGGTACTGACTTGCTCTTCAAGTTCAGTAAGTGGGCTAAAATGGCTGGATTCTTTCTGCATGTAACTAACACCACTTCTCTTTGATTCTGTTTCTTGACCAGTAAAAACTATCTGAGAGGGTAGAAACTCACAGCCGTTTATCTTTGGTATAGTTAAAACTAACAAGCAAAGAGAGGAGCTGTATTTGCCAGGCAATGTAGTCAGAATGACTCGAAAAAGAAAAAACTGACTCCCCACTACCTCTACTAGGAATATAGTCCAAAAGGAATGTCTGAAGGAAAAAAAAAGAAAGAAAACCAGAAACAGATAAACCAAGAAACCACTAGGAATCTCAAAGTTGCTGTTCGTCATGGACTGAATGTTTCTGTTCCTCCAAAATTCATATGTTGAATTCCTAATCCCCAATGTGATGGTATTTGGAGGTGGGGCCTTTGGGAAGTAATTAGGTGAGGAGGCTGGAGCCCTCCAGAATGGGATGAACACCACTATAAGAAAAGTAAGAGACCAGAGCTCTTTTTCTACCAGCTGACTGCAACCTGGAAAAGGACTCTTATCAGGACGCAACCATACTGGCACTATGATCTTTGATTTCCCATCTCTAGAACCATGAGAAATAAATGTTTGCTATTTAAGCCATTCAGTCTATGGTAATTTGTGGTAGCCGCCCAAACTAGGACATTTTCATTCCTCACAACTCCTACTTCAGTTACATGGGGTTCAGCCTTCTCTGCTCCCTCTGTAGAGCCTGAATCTCCATATCAGAGCACAAACCCTGCAGAGGGCTTCCCTGTAGGAGTTTGCCATTATCTCTTGAGCCACAGGGTATAAAATTATGGTGGGTCTATTGTGTTCAGGGTAGGCTAGGAATAGAGTTTAGGGAAAAGAGGAAAAATAATCCTGTGCTTAATATAAACAGGGTTTTTGTTTGTTTTATGTTTAAATTTTACAGGATCCTAGAGCACAAGAAAATTACCCTCAAAATTTCTGAAAAGATAACTATAAATAAATTGGACCTTCTAAGGGAAAAATGCTTTTTTGAAAAAGGCATGAGGATAAGTTTATCAGCTATTTCCACAAGACTAAGCAATGAATTATTGATCACATAAATACAATAAAATAGTTGAACCAATATTCCTGTACTGAACAAATCTTAAGCTATGTATAAAAGAAAAGTTAGCAACAGTATTTATGTAATATGATTTAGCAATTCAATATTGAATCAATTTTCTAAAAATTGTCAGAAAAATTAAGTTTTTGTTCAGTGTCATTTTCAGAGAGACATATACTTTGCTTGATGAATACTAACCTTGATCAATGATTATCAGCAGTTTTTCCGTAATGCTTCAAGGTAGGAATGAAGATTTTTCAGAAATTGCAGGAGATTTTGTAAGTCACATTCTTAGGCTGAGTTTCTGTAGTCAGCCTGTTTAAGGAACAGCTTTGGGTACACTCTAAAATGGAACTCAACAAATTCAGAGCAAAAAGTCAGTTTGCCCGACCCTTCAGCATTCTTCCTTCACTTGAGAGAAAATGTTCAGGGGCATCCTTGACAGTACATATCTCAACTTCACAAGCCAAGGTTATTTTCATTGTTTGTGGCAGATTGAAAAAAAAAGTTCCTCAGTTAGAAAAAATGCTGTCATACTATATGTATGTACAAATTAGCTAAGGGAATTGAATAGTTTTAATTATATATAAAAGTTAGAACGAAAGATTTCATTTAGGACTTGGGTGGTAAATCAACTTTGTCCAAGGTTCTGCTGGGAAAAATTGGGATTGGCAACTTGCCAGACCCACTGTCCTCAGACTAGCCAAAGAAAAGTTACTTTCCCTTTAGGAGCAATATCTCTTTCAAGAAATTGTTCAGTAGATGGAGGCAGCCTCTTGGTTAGCAAATCAATCCATAGAGAATGACTTTTCTGATGCAATAGAGACACATTAATTAATCAACCATTGTTAAAACTTCTTCCATTTCATAGAAGTTGTATTCCCATCTTTGTAATCAAGCCATATGTTTGGACTCTCATTCACAGAAGTGAATCTAGAAAAAGATGAAATTGAAATTCACCGCTGTAATAATTTTAGAAGAAAGCTTGTTTCATAAAGCAAGTGACTAAGCCATTTGTATTGTAATAAAAAATAATTGTAATTTGACTCTTGAGAACTGGGAACATACCTTACCATGAAAGTCACCCTATGTAAATTGTGGTTTGTTTCCTAAGCACCCCCCAAAATCCTTGGTAATCCATATGGTAATACACTCTATGATTTTTAGCTGAATTCTAACTCAGAACTGCTGATATCAGGAAATCATCTATTTGTTGCTATGGCCTTGGCTGCTTCCACTTAAAAAAAAAATATATGGCTTTGACCTTGTCAGTTGCAGCAGCTAAAAACTGTCCAATGAGAAGAGATACCCACCCTCCAGCTATGACGTCTGCTTACCAGCTAATGCAAAAAAACTCCTACCATCAGCCTCAGCCTCTGCCAGGTTTCCAGCATGAAAAGAATTACCCACTCAGCCATGGGGCTCTATGACTTTCTCACATGAAGCAAAACAACTCTTCCAATGCTCCTTAAAAAAAAAAAAGAGAGAGAGAGACAATTCTGACAGTAATGACATTTACTCTCTTAGTAGAAAACTCCCATTTCTCAAACAAAAAGGGGATGAGAGGAACTTAACTTTCTGGGCATAATGACTGGCTAGTCACTCATAGAACACAACTCAGGACCTGTCTGTATTTTGTAAATGAAAGATTGTTAACAAACTAGTTTGAATAATTTAGTCATTTACATACAGAAATTTTACACAGTGAGAATAGCTTCAAATTTTTTTCATAAAGCATTTAACTGTGAGAATCCAACTTTAGACATAAAGGCACTTCCATTATTTTCTGCTGCTAAAAGTTTGTGATTATGCAGACATGACCATAATTAGGTATTACTATTTTCTCCTCTTCTTAATAAGGAGAATCTGTAAAGATCTTTCATCGAAATAATTTATTGCTACTGTGTCTTAGGTTTTGGCTTCAAAGGCATCAACCATCAAATAAAAAATGAAAATTTCAGTTGATCTAAATACTTCAAAATATTTTGGTACTGCCCATCATCTTGTCTAAAACCCTGCCTCCCTTCTCATGTCTCATACCCTATCTCACACCCATCACTATCAAAAATTTCCTGACTTTCCTCCCACATATCAGCTTGTGAAGGAAAAGCCGGGGTGGTCTAACAAGATAACTTACAAGTCTAGGAATGTGAAGGAGAAGCTGGACTGGTCTAACAAGATAACTTACAAATCTAAGTATTGGAATACTGATCTGAGTTCTGTTGGACTAACTTGTAAATCTAAGTTAATTAGTGTTGGTTTGCTGTTCATGTTTTTTTCTAGCCAGCTGGGTTTTCAAAGATACATATCTGGCTTTGGAATGTTGGTTTGCTGCCTCCCTGCCTCCACTTTCGTGACGATAATGCTGCTAAAGCTGTTCCATGCCTATTGGCTGAATACCCCAAGCTTGTTCTTTACCCTATAAAACCTCATACAGTGAGAAAACAGTTCCCTCTCTTTCAGCAGGAGAGGAAAACATCCTTGTTTCTTCCAACTCTTCTGACAGGTGCATTCCCAGCCCAGGGCCTGACTGGCAGCTCTTGAGCCATGTGTTTTAGCAAACCTTCATTTCACAATGTGAGATGAGGCAACGATCATATGAGCAGCTCCTGCTCTTTCGTTTTTTGCCAACAGGTTCAGTGCTGTCATCCAGATTAATCATTTATGTCACAATCGTTCTCTGCTTGCCAAATTCCTTTCCTCCGACCAGTTAATCCTCAGCATGTGTATAACCAGGGAACACACTCAAAGATTTCATGTGAGAGGTATGAGAATGTTTTCTGCCCCTTCATCAGACACATAGCAGTGCATTGGCAAGGAATATGGGCTCCTTCAATGTGATTTCATGTGTTTGTGTGTGGTTGACACCCCAGCCTC